TCTATCTCGAGTGTGCCTGCTTAGCTTTACTGTGTGTTGCAGACCTGATATAATACTTGCTTGTGCACTTATAAATGCGTTGAAGTGTTTAAATTTGTATCAATAGAAAGGAGATTCCAACACCAGTCACATCTAACATTGAGTGACTTCAATGGCAGCTAGTGCATCACCAGCTCAATTAATCAATGCATTACTTAGGAAATAAATGCATGATTAAATAAATTACTTGCTGAATATTTTCAGGTACCCGAAAAGGTAGCGCCAATTGAACTTGGATGTGTTTGGAATCTGCCTTTCTTCATTTCCACTTCGCATGAGTTGTTCAAAACTGATGAAATTTGGTTGATTGCAAATGCAAGCATGTGCATTGCTCTGTGGAACTGAATGAGCTAGGTACAATTCCCTTTTGTCATAAGAATGAAATTGTCTTCCACAACATTGTTAATGCTATCATTAGCTCTTCCTTCAGCGCTCAGTAATTCAGGACGTATGCCACGACAGGGGCCATAGTGACTTTTTCGCCTTCTATGTGGTGTAACAAAAGTGTGTGCTTTTCGTTACCGCAAATTGTGCATCAGTGAAGGTTTAATTTATGTTTTGAGCTTACCACAATGGAGTCGTGGGAATCTGCAAGATCCATTGAAAACCTAAATTTGCTTAAATACCCAAATATGAAAAACAGAACACTAACGCAGAAGCAGGCTCAGGCAAATATGTAGTCTTTGACAGTGTCACCAATCAGTTGTCAGGCACGTACCTTCACTTCTTGCGTCCATGCCCACACGTACACAATCGCAACCTCACTCATTTTCGCATAAGTTATTACAGATGCGGTGATTATTTCCCTAGATGTTGATGTTTTTATATATCTTGTAAGCTTGTAAGACACATTTGTAGCATTTCTAAATGTACGTAGTAGAAATAAAATCGACCTTTGTATCTTTTGCAGACATTCATGCATTTGTAACTGCAGCAGGCGTGGTAGAGGGGATTGTGAATGGAGGCGAAGTGATGAACGTGCGGCAGAATGAGGGAGGTGTAGTGTTAAAATGTCCATTCCTTCGGAGGTGGGG